ACCACCAATTATTCACGTCTGTCTTTTCCCTAGCTCTTGGACTGTTATAATATTCATCCAATTCCTTTCTCCATGGTTCTGTAAGTTCCTCTTTAGATGTATTTGCAAAAAGCGAACTTAAACCTACTTCAAAATCATCGTCAACCTCATCTAAAATATTATTTTTATTATTTCTGCCATTCTTGTCTGCAGTGATGGTATAGAAATTTTCATCTTCCTGGTAATATAAATCTCTATATTGGAAATAATTGGTATTTCCATATCAATACCTAATTTGAAATTTCCGATAAATATTGTTTAATTTTAGTTTAGGTCATCGCATTGACCATCGTATTTTCGTTTTAATTTCAAACAAGCAGAATGAACTTATGATATCTGATATGGAGCACGGTAGCACCATCAAGAGATAATAATGATCTCTGGGTGAAGCACCACGGCACGCCAGCGGGTTCGACCGTTGCAGAGCCACGACGAATGCTACTGCATAGTAGTTCTGCCGAGGTAAATGGGGTAATTACTTACGGAATAATGAGCCAGTAATTGCAGCAATAGCAGATTTGTAAATTGCTAATCTGACGCATTTGTCAGTGATTGGTTTCTATATGCGTGTCTATGTGTGCAACTGAAATTCTCCCGTATTTCAGTTACATTTCACATGTAATCCTCGAATAAAGACATTCGGGATTGCTTACGGGCCAATTGAATATCGAAATAATAGAAAAATTGGAAAATATGCATCAATTTACTTTGAAAGTGGCCGTTTATACTTAAATGGTTTGTGTAAATTTTGTTTAACTGCATTAATTAAACGTACTGATTATTCAACTATTGCAATTATCCAAAAACTGAGGTTAACTTGTTAAATACTAATTAATTAAAATTACTTTCATCACTGCCTTCGGACATTATCGATAATGAATATCTTAATTTAAGCATAAATGGACTTAAGCCACTTTCAAAATAAACGGCTCAATTGTTTATCACATAAAAGAAATATACATCACTGATAATTATTAAAATTAAACCACATAGAACAAACCAGTGCAAATTAATCAACCAATAAATTTTACTTCTTATTCATATATGCAATATCAAAATAAGGTTTTAGTATTTTTTCCATGGCGCGTCATAATAAATTAATAACATTTAAATATAGAGATATTGCGCAACTTTTATTGATAATTTTCCACTTTCTGAGCTTTATAAATATTATAATTATTATTTTTTGTATTCATTTTAATTTATTGTAAGTTTTATTAATTAGGTATTGTATATTAAGCAGGTAATATTGAATTATCTTACACCTAACCAAGTAAAAAATTGACATTAATTTTCTTCATTTATTATCTAGGTATATACAAAGACGTAGAAGAGTCACATAATATTTTTTTTATTTCTATGATAAACAAAAAATTTTGACTTTCTACTTTAAATAGGAAATTTCGAGTTTAAAATCGGAATTTTGACTTCAAAGTTGAAAGTATACCATTTAATGACTGGAAAATCAGGAAGATCTTGTTCACCTGCCCCAAAATATATTGCAGTAACATTATAGCCATCAATTTCCATTTAACTTCATACTTCAGCTAATACATTTCCTGCAAATTCGAAATTAGATCTTTCTAAATGTTCATCAATTGTAACGCCACGTTCATCCAAATGAGACCCAAAATGGTCACGAGGCAATATTAAACCAGCCAGTTCCCTACTAAGAGGAGCCATTCTGTGCTCTACTCTGTTATACGCACTTCTTCCAGGAGCATTGGTAGCTAAAACAATGCATCGAGATCATGTCGCTTAAAGTGTTGTATAGCAAACACTATGACTTTTTGATAATGCGGATTTTCATCAGGCCCTCCATCAACCGTCATGATTACCACTGGTTTTACTAGACTATGGTCAGTTTTAGCTAATGGTCGAAACTCTTCAAGTTCGAGAAGCGTCTCGAAATCCAGAGCATGATTATTAGCAGTAGATGAACTATGCTTTCCGCTTCGAATAGCGATGTATGTTGGTCCAGAATATCCAACGGCTTGCGGTTGTCCTAGCATATTGGAAGTGATTATGATTCCAGCATAAATAGTTGGTATTAATTTATGACGCTCAACGATTACCCAATCGTGGTCAGACAATTTGCATTAGAAGAGGTGCTTGCTTATTTGCCACAGTTACGCCAATAGGGACTCGAGCTTTATCATCTTGAGATATGAAAAATACTTGATTTGGTCCAAGTATGGATGCTATGTTCTCTAAATAATGGATTGATGTTTCAGCGAACTTGCTATCTAAGTGGCTCTTGTGGTGATCAGTTTGAGCTCGAATGAGCTTAACAGGGACTGTCGATACATGTCTTCGTCCCTCTGCAGGATTATATTTTCTGGGAATCAAACGAAGATATGTCCTACTGCGACTAATGTCAAATCCTATTTTACGTAATTCTTGTGTGAGTTCATCAAGAGTTTTTACGCTGCGAATAGATTTTGTTCGTCTTCTATCATCTGCTGCACTACCAAATAAAGCTATATCCGCAATTGTTTTCAATAGTGATGGTTGATTGCTTTCAAGATTAGTACGTCCCACTGAATCCCTCAGATATAGTCTTTTTTTTCCTGGATTTTCATGACAAATATCTTCGAACTTTTTTTTCATACCATCCCTGTGTTCCTTCTGGGCAACTGCGTTTTGAATCTTCCTGTTTAAAGACTGTTTTGCTGTTTTTATTTCCTCGCGCAACTTAATGGTATGTTTATCAACTTCAGCACGGCTTGGCATAGTATCTCTGGCAGAATACAAAGCATTCAGATTTTTTCGAGTAGAGCAATCTTATTTTTCACAGCTTCTGAGAAGGTTTTACTCTCTGTTTATCTTCATTATCATTATTTTCGCATTGCTGTTGTGATTCATTACCGAGTTTTATTTTATCTTTTTCCTGTTTTTTAATATTTGAAGCTGGCAGTATAATTTGTGTTTTTTCTGCAGGTTTACAGGTAGTCGTTGCCTAAGAATAAAAACTTTCTATGGGTTCTGCTAAAGATTCTCTTATTAAGCTACATAAATAAAAAGTATGCAATAAAAACCTGCATTTAAAGATTATTTAAAGCCCTATGGCTTTGCTTTGTTATGCTTACAATACGTCTACTCGCTATAGTATCCAAACGAAACAATACACTGACAGAGGAAATTTAGACAAGTGAATAGCGCGCGGTAATTCCCCTACTCGGTTTTAAAGCGAGTGCCTAAACGTATGCATTATTTGCGGGAATCCCCGAAAATGCGTTTCGTTTTCAAGCATAGACAATGTGAGGGTTGTCATTCGTGTAAAAAAGTAAATAACTACCGATGACGTAATCATCATCTAGACTCCCCTAACCCCATGTCATCCAAAATAAGCAAAACAAAGACCCCCGCCCCCATAGTGCTTACGTAATACTTAAACGGTCCCTTACTTTCGCTGTAAAATTGGTGTCTGGGATTTTTGGCACGAATCTTGCAGAAAAGGTTTTTTATATTAAGTTTATCTTTCCTCTTGCTAACAGTCGATTTGATATCAAATCGTTAATATCGAAGTATGTTGATTATTTTGACATTAAACATGTATGAAATTATATTTAATTTTAAGAAATTATATAAAAGTAAATCAAATCATGCGGTTTGATCAATACGAGACCGTAACATAGATTGAAGGTCCAACAGAATTTTGTCATTCTCCAGCAAAGCGTTCGCCAATATATGATGAGTTTTGTAAAGCTAACACTTGTTTTAGTCAGTACGCGGGTTAATAATATATGAGACTACTAATTGAACCAATTGATGTTTTGTAGATTTGTAATTTCTGTGCTGCTGCGTGTTTCCTGTTAACAAATTACCCGACAAATAATAAATAAATTATCCAAAATGGTGATTTACGGCGACAAATGACCGTGTCTTTCGCTGAACGCGTCTGTTTTTGTGAAATTAGAGAAAGTTGTTCGTTTAATTTATTAATTGAAGTGTAATTGTTTGGATGCGGATAGATATATAGTGAATTGATTTTAAGTTAAAAAAAGTTCGTTATAGGAATACGCATAACACTAAATTATTACGGAGTTACATTATATTGAATAAAATATATATTTAATTAGGAAAAAGGACGAGGAAAGAAAATCATTATATACTATTCTTCTATTCTAACACAACCTAGTATCATAAACCCAACAACGCCAACGAATTTATCGAAATGTGCTACATAGGCATAAACCAATCGAGCAGTAAATAATTGACTTTTTAAATCGATCTATTAAAATTTGTTACTCATGTTCCGGTAAAATCTGCGTTTTCATTTATTTGCTTTCATTACCAAACGGATCTTTTCCACAAATTACAACAATGCATGGATTAAAAATTAAATATTGATGACATCGGCTAATAAAGATATATCAATTTAGTTTACGGTATTTAATTATTTATTTTAACAAAATTATGATTCGCGTAAACGCATTTATAAATATATTTTCCGTTTTATTTGAGGTTCATTGCAAACAAGGGATATTTTTCAATTCCCATATTTGTATGCAATTAAATCGTAAATTGGATGGTTAATAAATAAATAAATAAAATATGCGCCATTTTACTATTTCAATTTTTGCAGGGTCGCACCAGATTATAAGGCCACCTTTTTTAAGATATAACTGACAATTAATTCATAGTGTAATCTCATGTAATAAAAATTATTATTCAGTAATAAAAATGTTTAGCGATAGTTCCTTACTAAGTTGTTCGATTTCTATGATTCTTTTTTTGTTAGAAAGGGGATACCTCAAGGGTAGTTCCGTATACAATTGTTTATGCTGAATTCGAAAAATTCAATGAAGTTTTTAAATTTCATCTAGAAGTTAAGTCAAATAAATCGACTTGTGATCCCATTTGTATAAAGTTTCTTTTAATCGTTTTTCTTTTGAATCTCCTGAAACATTTGCTCATAAATTCCTAATACCCTGTATAAGTATTTGTATTTGTTCTAGGTGTACAACATCAGTCTTATAGGACAGTAGGTATCGGACAAAGACAGTTTTTGGAAACGACATCGTTTTCGCATTTAAGGGACTTGGAAGTGTACAAAAATAAAAGTGTGCGAAGTTCTGAAGGGTCACTGAATTCTTATAAGCAGGAAACGTCAGGTTAGATCATTATTTTTTTTTATCATTTCTTAATGTCATGTACAGAAAGTCATTTATTTTTTACATGCACACACGCCATGTATAAATATTATAAGGACTATGCACGACTGACATAAAACCTGATCTAGGACAAACCCTACAAGGTACGACTAAGATTACCTAGTCAAAAAATGCAGCCGCGCTGAAATATATTGTAACCATACTTACATTGATGCGCAAAAGAAATAATAAGCCAAAACTATTATAACAAAACTATAAATCTTTAAAGACAATTCTTTCACCAGAAATCAAAGTATAACTGGTGAAGAACTACCTAGAAGACCTAAACTGTCAAAATAAAGTGAGTTTAGTTTGACTAACAGGCATCGAAAGACACTAAAGCAATGAATAGGCTGATAAATTAGTCTAAGAAGGATCAGATAAGACCATAAGAAGCACCAACAATAATAATAGCTGCAAAAAGAGTCTTCACAAAATCAATCATTTTTAATTATTTAAAGTGAACTTATTTTTAGTATTAGTAACAGTAGTATTATGCCTGAGTAAAAGATGAATAAAATATCCAGAAAGGGTATTTATCTATCACTTTGTCAACCATAGTTTTGGATAATGGTTCTGTGATATAATATATTATTTTATTCTGTAAGTCGATTTGTTTGGGTCACGGTGTAATTCTTTATATACAGTCTGTTCGCTATACTTACGCGGGTTTCGGATTAACAATATTATGCAAATTAGTCATTGACAACCAGTTCCAATAGGCCTCTTCCCAAGAAATTAGGTAAAATTGCCCTAATGGTCAGATTTAAATTAAAATAACATTAGGGTAGGTACTAAATTTGTTATAAATATTGCAGTTGAATTGATTCTTTGCAAGTGTTGACATTGTATGTATATTGTAAATTTAGTGGAAATTTTAAAAATGCCTAGACGTGTGTTAAATGTAGATAGTCTAATTTGTAGTGTACATAAGTATTTTATGGATGAAAAAAAGAAATGGCGGTCCTTTAAAATTGGTAATGGCTGTACAACAATGCGTATGCGATGCTCTAGGAATTAGTGAAACCAAATTAAGAGGAGTATTACAAAATCACAATAGTGAACAGCCGAAAGAAGATCACCGCTAAACTCGCACAACATTGAAAACGAAAGATATTCCAGATGGAAAGAAATATGAAATTCGAAAGAAGTTCTGTCGTACACAAGAGAATTAACTTTCTAAGAAAATATTCTAAATTTAAAGAAGAAGGGCGAATTTTATATATTTAGACGAAACATGGATATTTTCTAGAGGTGCAACCAAGAGAATATGGCAAGATGATAACGTAAAGTCCATCAAACATACCGATGGAGAAGGGAAGCTACATATAATTTTACATGCAGGAAAGAAATCGGGTTTTATAGAAGGTGCTGATTTAATATTTTCATCTAAATCAAAATCCAGTGACTATCACGATAATATGAACACAAAAATGTTTGTAAAATGGTTGCATGAAAAACTTCTCCTAGGTTTAAGTGAGCCCAGCGTAATTATTTTAGACAATGCACCTTACAATTCTGAAGTATTAAACAAAAGTCCAACGAATTCTTGGATTGTTGATAAAATTAAAGAATGGTTGACAAAGGAACATATATATACCATTTCCTCAATATACGTATATTAAAATCAGAATTATTACGCTTGGCAAATATACACGCAGAACCAAAATCCTTTGTTGTGGATCAGATTATTGAAAGTTACGGTCATAAAGTTTTACGTCTGCCACCGTATGATTGCCAGTTTAATCCCATCGAATATATGTGGGGAATAGCAAAACAATATTATGACAACCATATTGGGTCTAATGGTTACAGTGACGATGCATTTCGGGAAACTTGGCGAAAAGTACTTTCAATTGCAACTCCAGAAGTATGGCGGAACTGTATATCCAAGTGCGAGAAACTAATAGAAGATTGGTGGACTCGTGAAAATAAAATAAACGAAATAAGTCCCATCATAATAACAATTAATGGTGATGACAGTGATGATGATGACGATTATAATATTTTGGATGATAATGACTGATTTTCATTTTTGTTGGCAAGTTCAATTTTTTTATTTTTCATTTAAAATTCTCTACATGGAACAAATTTTTATGTTAGAAAATATTTTATTTGAGTTAAATAACCCTCTCATTATACATAGACCATATTTTCTGTGTGAAATGTAATATAAAATTATTATTAGGTTTATAATAGCCACATTAGACTGCATTAATGAAGAAGTTTAATTCTGCTCTCAATTATACAAAAGATTCTTCATTATTATTTAATTAAAAAGTTGTACATTATTTTTCATTTCATTTAACCAGTTGATATTTCCCCAAAGAACAGGTCAAACTTTCGGGTACTTACCTGGAAATACTCATGAAATTTTTTAATCCGAAACCCGCGTAAGTATAACGAACAGACTGTACATGAAAACAGGCAGAGGTTGGAAAGTAATAGAAAAACATTAAGAGAATAAATGTGTTTAATTTGTGTTGTGACAACCCATCAAATTATGGTCTAAGCTAGGATGACAAAAAAAAAATAAGTTTTTCCACACATTGCTGCAGTGTTAAACTGCATCAAAAATCATCACAAATCGATTGGAGAATAAAATATTTTAAGTGAGTGAATATTTAGTAACGAATTTGACTTATGTTAAATTGCAAGTTACTCGATGAGTAATTCTGATTTACATCAATTATATATATGACGTTTTATACATGTGTATGAAACGGAAAGCGTGAGTCACAAACACCGACAGTATCTTTTTAATATGTTACTGGATAATGGGTACGTGGATTAAGTCAGGTCGAGGAGTAATAATAGTAATCAGTTGTTGTATTATTTAACAGAAGTGTGCTCTAAATTAGAAATAAAGGAAGCTATTAGTACCGATACGTATCTCAAAGCTTTGTTTGACATTTGTTACGTGGATTAAATCATGTCGAAATGTAAATTATACCTACCTACTAATCTAATTTTAAATTGTATTCGATAGAATGTCATAGACACTATTTATTATAACGTAACAGCTTTAGGTTTAAAGTAAAATAAATAGGGGAAGAATATGAGCTATCATCTTACGATTATATTTTAAAGTGTCCAATATTCAAAAACTATTTAAAAATTCTAAAATCCACTCCCAGACAAACAGATACAAGTATACTTGACCAAAAAATATTTTTTGTTTCTCAAGAAAGATAATAGTAAACCTATAGGAAGAGTGTCAAGATAACAAGCGACTCCACCAAAAATGAATCGTAAATAAATATGACCCTATATACATTAATAAAACTCATGAATACTTACAGGGTCGATGAAAATAATAACACTAACGTTACGAATGCTGTAATCGCTGTCTAAAATTTTAAGCAAGCCTCGTAGCAATTTTATTTACTTTCATGCAATCTTTCGAAGGGGTTGAATTTCATGGGAATTTTAAGAAGGGAGAAAAACGATTTTTGTAAGGCGATATCGAAGAAACCTTAAAGTTCGACCTTCCTTTGGGGTCTCTATATCTACACACACCTTAATGTGTACCTATATTAGAGAGGAAGTTGACCAAATCAGGGTTTTTTTCGTTTTTTCTTGGTATAATGCTTTGCATCGATGCAGGTGAACGAAAATTGGCTTTTTGAAATCATTGAAGGAGAAAGATTCAGTAGGTACCCATATTGATAAAAAATTACAGATGCAGAATATATAGTAGCAAATTATATTTTTCAAAAAGTTTAATAACGTCAGCCAAAAATAAAAGAAAAAAGAACAGCACAAAAAGTTATTTCGGAAAAAATACGTCGACGAAAAAACTTATAGGCATTGTTTTTTTTTTAATAAGACATTCTTGACGATTTAATAATATGTCAACGCAATTCAAGTGAACCAATTCGATTCGGGTCGCCAAAACGAATCGCGACTGACAAGGCTAGCCCCTCGCCCCTAATTATACCAGAGCCGCACTGGCTTAAATTCGCAAATAAAGTTTCACTAATAAATGATGACAATAACAACAAAAATTTAGGTTGAAAAATAAGTGTGTAAAATTAGCGAGAGCTTTACATAGCCATCATCACAGCCTTCGTGAAAGAGTGTTTTAAATTTATAATATTATAGTTTGACAATAAAATAATTAACTTATGTCCTACAGATACTTCGTCTAAAAATAAAACAAAATAGACATATATCAATCTTGAAATACAGATAGAATCAGTTAAATTTCATAAAAACACATTATTTTAATATTACATAAATAACATAAAAATATAAATTTAATTTTAATATTTTTATTTTCATACGTGTTAATCTATATTTTTTTGTACATCATTGTCCTCTGGCTGATCGCGTCTGTGTCACAGTATACTTAAGATACTGTGTCTGTGGCGCATTATGATGAGTGAGCCTAACACGAGTGAGACGATATGCCGAATGCATATAGCTGAAAAGAGAAGACAACACGCCAACAGATCCTTCAAACTGACAAAGAACACATTAATTGGCGCGCCGCTCACAAACAAGGTTGCCAAACCAGTGTTGCTAGTCTAGTACAATTCAAACGTTCGTTTGATCTGTCTACAGGTACAGCATAATTTTGTAAATAACCATAGGATTAGAGTAAGGGTTATATTTTTTTATATTTTATCATTCCATTTTTTTATTTTACATAATAATTATTTTTCTATAATTATATTTAACAATAAATATGAGACACGAGAAACTGGCTGAACACTAGTTCTTTTTGGTCTCAATAGGTTGGCAACATTTTTCGTTAGAAATTTGTCAGTTCTATAATCGAACTGTCACTTTTTTTTTAAATAACTTGTTTTTCGGCCTTTTCCGATTTGATTGTTGGAAGAAGATAGCCGTTGGGATTTAGCTCTGCATTGTGTTAAATAGTGTTGAGTAATAATTAGTTTCCGAGCTTTTTGTTTTGTCCAAGGGCCCCCGTGCTAATGTTTATGTTACTTTTATTT